TTAATTTTTTATATATGTATCTTTGTATTTACTATTAAAAAAAAAATGTATTATGTTTTAGGAAATATAATAGAAAATATGTTATTTATTAAATACACAAAATTTTAAAAGAAAATGTTTTAATTGTATCCATAGATCTAATTTATGCAAGCTATTAATTTGAAACAATCCAAAATTTAATTTTATATTTATAGATGTAAATTATATATACATATAATGATTGTGAAGTTTGAAACCAATCAGAAATAAGACAAAAATTAATTATAAATAGAATATTGAAAGCGTGAGTTGTACGATTTGTAATTTTTAAATTATAGTAGTAAACTAATTAGTTTCGTGTGTAAAATTTAGTTAAAATAAAAGTTAAAATGAAATTTTATATTTTTACTTAACAGTGCTCTTGTATAACGGAATAATTTCAATAATAAATTAAAATTTTCTTTTACATTGACAATTGTGTCTAATAAGATGTTACTGTCATTACCATTTTAGATATCAAGTATTCTTCCTGTGCAGGTATATGTGTACATATGTATACATATACAGGATGTTGCATTTTTTTAAACGATTTCTTTGTTTGCAATTTAAAAAACGTTTCAGATAAAATTTATATGGTTTAGGAGGAACAGATGTCATTGGTTTGACTTTGAAACATTGTTTGAAGGTCACGTGAAAGTCACTCATCAATTTCTTAAATAAAACCCCATATATTTCATTACATATTCTTATAGCTTACTTTGAGAGCTTTTCAAAACACTATGATAAAGTTTTTCTTCAATCATTAGTTTTCGAATTATGATCCTGGTGAAAATTTTTTTCAGAATTTTTCATATAATTTTTCAGAATTTATAATTTATTAGTAATTTATAATTAATTTATAATTATAATTATAAATTTTTTGTAAGTATAATTTCTGTTGAAATGTTATAAAATTTAAAAATATTTTTTAAAAATTATGGGATAAGAAATTTCAGAATATTTCAGAATTCACTTATATGAAAAATTCTGAAAGAAAATATAAACTTCCCGAATATTTCTGAGCATTTCTGAAAAATTTTCTAATTAGTATAAAAATTATGAAAAAAATTTTCACCAAAGAAGGCTTGAAAGTTACAGTATGGTCAGCATTAGCATTACTTACAAAAAAATTTAATAAAATTTTGATTGTTATTAGATGTTAAACAAGATTTCGTTACCCACATCTTGTACTAACACCCACTAATGATTAAAATTTTATCAGGCTTTTTTTTATAAATTAGAGTACAAAATGTCACTGGCCAGAAACTTTTGCACGCCACTGTATGTACCTTTTTATATCATATTTGCAAAAATCAATTTGACGCTTAAGTTGATAAGTGCATTGTTAAACACATATACATTTTCCTTAGCTATTGATTGTTCTGTTACTTCACTATCAACTTTATATTCTTCAATATTTTATTCAATTTTTTAATATACTGTATGAGAACTTACCTATGAACCCGTTTTAAGTGTAAATTTAAACACCTGGTTGTTGATACTATGTTATATGTTTTATTACAAATGTTGCATATAGCAGTCATATTGTTTCCTGGTGTGAAATAATCCCATATCCAACTGATTTTACGATCTTCCTTCTCCTTTTCTGTTAATTTGTCTGGATGGACCAACCTCAAGTGGCAAGGTAATTCAGGCACATATTTATAACTAAATACTTCAGAACAATGATTGCATTTCGCTTTATTTGTGGTTAATTTTGTGTAATTTTTACGTATCCAACGTCGAACTGGAATCCGTTCATCATCTTCTTCTTCCTCCTCTGTTATTATAAAACGTTTTATATTACAAAATATTAATTATTAACTTATAAAAGATACATATAGATATAATAAAATGATTGCGAATGCTGTTTACAGAAAACGAAAGTATGATTATTATTCAGAGTAAATATAAATAATTGATATATTATTTAAAACTATCTAATTAGCAAATAATTCATACATTACTTATTAATCGATTACTTATATTAAATTTATATAGTACGCAATACTTATATATGAGAATTAGAAAATGAAAGTCAATTATGCATGTAACAAAAATTAAATCATTTTATAATTACTAATTTAAATTTAAAAAAATACTTTTTATGATTGTGTTATACTAACATAAAATAATAAATTGTAATAAATTTATCTTTTTCTTTTCAGAACAAAACTATCAACATTTAATTATATTTTAAATATAATATTATGTAATAGATTATACATATTTATGTTTTTTTTACATAATATATATATGTATATTTTTACATAATTTTATATATGAAATATTGTTTTGAAAAATTTTTTACCGGGTAAATAATTTAGTTTACTGCACTCCTTGTGTTTTTTCCCATGTAAGCATTTGTTTGGGTCATGTTTTGTGTTACATATACTGCAATTGGATTTTTGTATCACCTTCTTGCCTCTGATTCTATTGGACTTCTGTGTTACCTTCTTTCTTAGACCATATTTCTTTAGTTTGCCTTGTAGATTTCTTTCTCGAGTCTCAGCAGCTCTGCAGTAATTAATTGCCTTTTGCAAATTAAGATCTTCCATTTTTAGAAATTTATCCTGTAGTGTTTTGTCTCTTATCCCAAACACAATTTTGTCTCGAATCATTCTGTTAGTCATTATACCAAATTCACACATTTGACTCAGCTTTTTTATATCTGTTAAAAAGCTCTCAAATGTTTCATCTTCTTTTTGTATTCTGCTAAAAAACTTAAATGTTTCATGTATAACATTTTTCTTAGGATTGCAATGCTCTTCAAAACATTGCAACACTTTTGTCAAGTCCTTCTTCTCTGCCTCTTGGAGATTAAATTTATTGTATAATTCAATACCATCTTTGCCGACAATATTTAATAATATAGCAATTTTAACTTCATCCGATTTTATAATATTGTTTGTCACTTTTAAAAATATATCAAAACTTTCCCTAATCTTGTGCCAATTCTCATTAAGATTTCCATTTGCACCTAATCCTTTTGGTAGTTTGCAAAGTACTTTCATTTTACATTCGGTATTGTTTGTATTTTCCATGACTAACCTCTCTCAATGATTAATGAATTTTTATGTTTTCTTTCTTTTATTATTATAACCTACTGCAATATGATTTTTAATATATACTTAATGACACTTCAAGATTGTACTATATTACGTATACTTATCGGAATACAATTACTTGTACACATTGATATACTAATAATGGTATGTAATATCCTTGAGAGAGTCATTTGTCTGCTAGTTTGGTTAGTTTTTGAGTGCGTTGGTTACTGTTGGTTACTGCGTCCTATCTCATGCACGAGCGTGATGAATCATATTATCCTTGTTATTCACCGACGTTAAAGAAGAATAAAATGATATATCATGCGCGTTATATGTGAAACAGAATATGCCTTTCATCAGAATGCGTTCAAAGTGTGTTCCCGTATGCGCTTATAATACATATTAGTTGAGTTTCTTCTGATACACATAACCGCATTCCATTATCCAAATTCACTACAAAAATCTGTAATATCAATGGAAAGTTACTTTTTAAAAGTAACAAGTTGCAGTTACTCGTTACCGATTTTTAAAAGTCACAGTTATCGTTGCTTACCAAAAAAGTAACTTGTAATAAGTAACGATTTATTTTCATTCCCTTGAATATCTATACATAGGATTACTGAAAAAGTTCATAAAGTTATATAACGAAATCATATAATTAAGACAAGTAAATTAGGTAATGGATTGTTTTTAATGAATACGTAATTTTTTAAAATCATAATTTGAAAGTCATCATAATATAATGATATGTTTTTTCTTCTATTTCTATATTGTTTAATTCTTTAGAATTTGATAACTATAAGAAACTTGAATAAATTATTAACATGCACTGTTTTCTACAAATATCAATATTAAATAATCGATAAAGATGCTTAAAACAAATTGAAATAGTTAAATTTTTATTTTTATTTACGTAAAATTGTTATGACAGTTGTGTATAAAATAACAAAATAATTATAAATAGAAAATATGGAAAATATCAAAATTAAAAAATATAAGAATAAATCTGAAAATCATTGACACAATAAAGAAATTTTCTTTGTTCTTAAATCTATAATCCTTTAAAGATTCGTAAGCGGTTTGAGATAATTTTTTTTTAAATTGGAGTATTGGAAGTTTGAAAGGAGAGCTTTGGCTATGCTATTATAAATGCTGTTATAAAAATGTGGATCTATTTTGGACTTTTATCTACAATCTTGATCATAGAACATATTATTTTCTTACATTATAGTACAGAATAATAAAAATATGCTCATGATGTAAGAAACGTAATAAGCTCAAGAATTATATGATCAATGCACACATGTTGATATACATATTTGACCAAAATATAAAAATTATTTTCAAAGGTTCTCGATATTTAAAATAATATTCATGTAGTATAATAACTAACTGAGAGTACAATACATTTTTGTTAGCGTATATAATATATAATATTTTGTATTACATACAATTCTTCTTGAATTCAAACATACATGTTTCAGTTTAATTCAGGCCATTTTCAGCGAATTAATAAATTAAGTAAAATTGATGACGAACTCGTGATAAATATTAGGTAATTTGTATAAGATTGCAAATAAGTTAGAAATAAAACAATGTAAAAGCATTGCCAAAGTTTTTCAAATTTGATTTTCAATAGACCAATTCCTAAACAAACTTATTACTCGAACATTTACGAATCTTTTAAAAGACTAAAAAAACTTTTTTTGTTAAATTGTGATTTATTCAGATTTACTCTGTACACATTTACATATTTACAGGCTAAAACATATTCACATTGGAGATGTTTAAAAATATTTCTGCAAAGACTCTCCGAAAATTTCTTCTAAAGTTCGAATAGCATTCTGCGCACACTTCTCTGTAGCTTCGTCTTCGTCTTCCAACATTTCCGCCAGGAATGGTACGGTTTCTGGCAATAATGGCATAAAATCCTCGCCGAGTTTTCTCGCGATTTCCACCTAAATCGCAAATAATTATTAAAAGATAAACAAAGATAATTTAAATAAGAAATATATAATAAAAAAACAATAGTGGAACAGTTTAATTTCTATGTAAATTATGAGATATAAGCAGTATAAACAGTTTTTAATAAAAAAATAACTACCTTACTAAATTTTATTTGAATATATTGAATTTTTTTTTCGTTTATAATAATTTATTATTTAAATTCTTTATGAATTAGCGTAATTTATTTTAAATGGAGTTAAAAAAAAGATTTCAAACGAATATATTTGACTAAATTTGAAAGCAATAAAAATAGAACTTCACTGTGTAATAACTTTTATATTATAACATATTATAAACATATAAATTAAACTTATTCATCATATATAATCTTACCAATGCATTCAAAGCTGTGCTTCTGACGTAAGGCTTTGCATGCCTCGTTTTCAACAACGTTTGATAGACCAGTTGTTTGTGCAATGAATCGTCGGAAATGGCGCTAGCGAAAGAAGCTATACAAGGTACAATAAGCTGACTAGCTCGAATCTCATATTCTTCTCTAGTTCCCATTGTGTTTTCCACTTGATCCACTATCGGTTGCATGAGAATCTCATATCGGTCCTCAACGACGACGTTATGCACATCATAACTGAATACCCGATAAAGTGTCAATAGAATTGCCTCTACCAGCTCAATTCTGCTGGATTCATCGGGAAGCGTCAATTCCTGCGGAGTGTCCGTTATGAACATGTTGTTGTTCTTCAGTAACGATGCCGCATGCTTCAAAAAAAGTCCAGCGAACAGAACGAACAGGGACTTCAAACATTCTGCTATATTTGCCGATAATCTAAACAGAGAAATTAAAAGTCGCAAAGTTTGTAAGAATTGATGGATATAAGATGTATTATTTTTCATCAATCTACTATGTTAAACAAATTAAAATAAATTTCCAAATTATCGTGTTAAAGAAAAAACCATATATATTTTAAAGCATTTCAAGCTACTTATATAATTGATCTATAAAATTAAATTCATATTTATTTCAATTACGTAAAACCCTTAAAACACTTAATCTTATTGATAAAAAATAATATATAATAAAAGCAATATAAGTATTGATTAATTAAATGTTTAATATCACGCGATTAGTAAGAATGTATAATTGCTTTGAAAAAGATCTACAACTACAATTTAATACGATTTAATTTGTATTGATTTTATATTGTTGATACCTGTAGAATGTTATACTCCGTTGTTTGTGCTGTGTATCATTCGCTGCCCATCCATAAAGTTTATCATAGAATGGTCTAAACGTTACTTCGCTCAATTTCAAGAGTAATGCTACCAATGCTTTACTAGCGCTTTCCTCAACCGCGACGATGTCTTTTAATGTAATTTGTTGGTCGTTTTGTGTTTCCATGTTATCTTCGATTCTTTCACGAAATTGAAGAATTTGGAGGAAGAAATTGGCGAGATTGTCGACTTCCGCCTTCAGTTCTGTTGGAGGCACACTGTCAAAGGATTCTGCTAGCACACTCATCAAGGATGGTATACATATATAAGATTTTTTGTCTAATAGCAATTGATAAGTTCCATTAACAGCTGGCAGCAGCACTCGCAGAGGTATGCAACTGGATAATTTCTGCGTTGTTGCCTTCAGACGCGAAATAACGATACTAGCCTGTCAAAACATTAATAAAAAACAATTAAGCTTCAAAAAACCCAACGAAATTTCTGCAATAGATATCATAATCTTGGTAGGCAAAACATTAAACGAATACCTTAGGATGATCCGTGTTGGTATACTGAGAACTGAGCATTGTCAATTCGTATAAGAGTTGATCCAAGTAGAGCGACAGGAAATTTCCCAAAGATTCCACTATCTTCTGCAATGCACTCACGATGCTAATGACTATAACATCCGGCACATTTTGATAGCAATGAGTTTTTAACAACTTTAAAACTGCAGGCACAAACTTGTTCAGCGAGTACAGAGCATGGGTTCGCATTGAACTGCATAATTCTGCTACACACAACGCTGCATTGGCTAATACCGGACCATTTTTGGATTCTAACAATTCTGTCGTTATATCCAAAATCTGTGAATAATCATTAGTATACATAATGTTATAAATAATCATTATATAATTTTAGTATCATAATTACTATATTATTATAGTATATATTATAGCATTATGATAATTATACTAAACTTAATAATATTAATTTTTCTGAAGAAGATTATTAAATAATCAAACATTTTTTTAGAAATATTACGTAAAATATTAAATAAAAATGTATTAATCAAATATGCGTACTGGTCTAAAAACAGCAGGACGGTCAATGGCCAATAATTTCGTTAGTAGTTTCAAAGATATTAATACAGTCTGTTGTACGATCTCTTGTTCCTGATTTTCAACCTTTACTTCAACTTTGAAGAAGTCTGTCAAAGGTTTAATCAAACTCAGAAGTTCTTCGTGAGCATCCTCACCAAATTTCTTCTGAAGCAATCTTGCGTTTAACAATTCTAGAGCTTTCTTCTTTACTAATAGGACTTCATGTTTTAGGAGGTTCTTGATACTCTGAAGGAACAGAGTATTTGGTAATAGATTGTTCACTAAATCCAACACATCGTACAAATGGTGTAATAACACTTTCCAGTACTTGGCACTTGGTCTGTTTTGATGCTGATCAGCGATCTTCGAAATTATCTGAATCAACATAATCAACTCGATCGCCAGATGATCGCAATGCTTGTTTATATTGTCTGTCTCATCCTGATTTAGCACAGCTACACGATTGATAAAATCCTCGGACGACAAGAGATTACTGAGAAATTGTACAGCCGTCATTTTATAGTGCCGAAGACTTTTTGGCGTGGACTTAGTCACGTCATAAATATTTTTATATTGAAATTTCATTGCTTCCCTTCTGCCCTGTTCTTCCTCGATATCAGTTGGCAAGAGCTTGATGAACTGGACCACTTTCGTGCAAATCTGAAACAAAAAGGAAAGTTTTTGTTATATCTCTGGATAATAAAAAAAAAACAGAATTATCTTTTTGAAAAAAATCACATCACTAACACAGTGTGTTCAAACTTTTTAAAAAATGCTCATATGGCTAAATCCTAAATTGAAATGATTATCGAGAACTGACCTGAAGTAATCGATACGGTGGAAATTCTTGAGACACCTGAAGAGCAAAATCTAACCACTGAGTGGGATGTTCGACCTTCTGGCTTGCTATCTTCATAACGTAGCTCTCGAAAGTCAGCAAATAATACAAATGCAGATAATTGTCGAGAAGCTGCAGCAACTTGACAAAGAGTGGCATCCGCCTATGCTCAGGAATGTGAGGCAACGAGACAATAAAGGTCCTCAGCAATTCGCAAGCATGTACCGCATTGTCAGTTGCGTTTATGATTGGTACCACCGTTTCCAGAGTCTTGGAGATGATTTGTATGGAATAAGCGTCGTCCTGCCGCACCATCGTGCTGCCCATAAATGTGAAAATTGGCATGAGATTAAAAAGAGCACGATGGACATTCATATTCCTCAAAAACTCGACCAGCACCAGTAATGCATGATGATGCGTCTGCGGATTGCGCGACGTTCTGATGCACTTGACAATAAGCGAAATCTGCAAGTCAGCGTCACGCACTGGCAGTTTCTTCTTCATCATCCAAAAGATTGTTGAAAGAAGCAGCTGATTCGTATATTCGATTGGGCTCTGTTCCTCCAGACTCAGACAAACATTTAGCAAATCAAACAATACACCATAAAGCAGTTCCTCATTTTTAATGTTGTCGGCGTGCTCTGCAAACTCCAACAGGATGACACCGCGCTTCCACGCCCGACTGTGAATCATCGCCGAATGCGCCAACTGAGTTTGACTCTGTCGCTTTTTCCGCTTTCTTTCGCTTGACTTTATCTCGGAGCTCGCCTCTTCTTGAATTTGGTTGCTCATCATGGCCTTCAATTCTGAAATTAAGATCGTCGCATCCACGTGCAACCGGCGAAGTGTCTTTCCCGCGACAGAAACTACGTTGTTAATCTCGCAATCAATCATCACGTCCAGGATTTTGGACAGGATGCTGACCTTAACATCATGAGACATTGCATCGAAGAGTATATCAATTCGTTTTAACATCATGATGCTCGGCGAAGTTCGATTACCATTTTCTAAAACTGCACAGGATTCGTGTACTTGAATGCATGTTGTGAAGAGCAACCATACTTTGTCGTCCTTCAGGGCATCAATTGTGTTTATGGTAAAACGATCCAATATATTTCGTAAAGCACTACCAGCCGGTTTATTTTTTGGATCTTCCACTAGCTTTTGTACAAGCTGAAGACCTATCGGAGCCAATTGCTGGAGGATTTCGGTACTATTAACATTCACCAAAATATCAAGGAGTTGTGATCTTTGAGTCAGAGAAATTTTTGATTCTTCATTCTGCTGTGTCACCATGTCAAATAATAATTTCTGAGTCTGCTGCAACTTCTTATGTTCTTTTATTTGATGAGAAACATGTGGATCTGGAGAAAGGAAGAAGTAGAAGTAGAATGCAAGTTCATCAGAATCACTGCAGATTTCTGTACTTTTTGTCGCTAGTTTCTGCAACAACACGAAGAATGGTTCCGTACTGAGACTAAAAGTCTGTGTTATCTTTTTTAAAATATCTATCGCTACTCTTCTGCATTCGTTATTACGTCTTGCCAACGAAAGTAGCAAATTGGTAACAAAGTCTTGATCCTCAAATGCCCAGTGGACGGATTTACACTGATTTAATAGTAATAAGGAAATCTGTAAACAGTGATAGGATGTTTTTGTTTTTATGGGTTCTGCATAGAACTGCGCAAGAAAGCAGATAAGATCCTTCACTGTAGCAAAATGAAGCTGGAAGAAGATTTGTAGACATCTAGAATAGTGCTTTCGCCAACTTTTATTGTCCATGCCTTCAATGAACATCTCTAGTAGTCGCAGAATCAGATTGCTTCGTTCAGCGTTGTGGTCGAAATCAAGTTTTGATTCGGATTTAATATTCAATCGCCTGTGCACCATTTCGAGAACGTAAGTTCCTGCTTGAAGCGGCAAAATTCCCTCAGATGTAAGCTTCAGAGCCATTTGAATGTTGTTGCCAGTAATATTGTTACAGTTGCGAAGTAGCTTAACGTGCGAATATGTTTTAATCATCTCCGTGGCTATTTCAATCACGTCCCGTGCAGTTTTAGGCGGCATTGAGCCCACGGGTACTCTGCAGACTGATCCTAATAGTATCATGTTGAAGAATAAAGATGCCGCATCGCCATGCGACATTTGTTGCCGCATGGAATTCAATATACTCTCCGTAGGCGGTAGCAACGCATGGTTTAATATGTTGTGAAAAGCAGCAGAAGATATCACTTCGGCATTCAAATTAGATTTATTAATGTCTTGCACCACGCTTTGCATATATATATTATTCTTAGCAAAGTTTGAATTGAGAACTTCCATAGCAATTTCTACATCTACATCCGTAGCTGGAAATAGATATGGTAAAGCTGTGATAAAGATGCTAGTATCGTCGCTTTCATCGCAAAGTTCTAACAGTGTCTTCAAAGCTGGCTTAGCTAACACTTTTCTCGATGCTGTGTGACACGTTGATAACAAAACCAGTAACTCATCCATCAGAGTATCTGTGGGTAACAAACTAATCAATTTCTTCGTAGGAAAAGACAGCAGAGTCTTTACAACGTTAATGTCGTCATCATAAAATCTAGCTTGAAGAGTACTCGTCAATATGCTGCGAAAACTCTCGAACACATTGATGTTGTTCTTAGCGAGAATTTCAAGAGCAATCACACGTTGCGCAGCGCTGATGTGCGTTAGTTTGTCCAAAATCTCGACGGACTCGTGTGTGTTCTTAGTGCCAAAAGACCTTGAAGTAAGGAAATGTAACGCCTGTTTAGATTTTTCATCAAACTCGCTCTGCTTCATCAGCTTTTTTAGATATCTATCAAAATTCTCTGGATAGCTGCGTTCAAAATTCTGATAAAATTTCACTAGAAAACTTTTTATTTCGCTACTTAAAGCTTCATCTTTAAAGTCGCATGTTAATGTAGCTAAAATAGCGTCCGCTGTCTCATCATCGAGTCTAATGTGCTCCAGCATATTGCTGAGCATGTTTTGCACACTACTCTCGGAGATAAGTTGGCAAGCGGCTCGAAGAAAATGTAGAATAAATCTTGAGACATTAGTACCCAACTTAATTGTTGCGACAATCGTCGTAACAAACCAAGGTAGCTCAGATAATTGAAGAATCAAACTTTGCGGTATAACAGTTAATTGAGATTGGTAAAGATGGAGTAGAAAAATAGTAGCTTCCTGTTTCATGTGTGAATTCTTGAACGTCGTCAACAACAATTTCTCTATTGTGTCGTCATTCAATTTCGCCTATAAATTTAATACCAAAATACATAATTAAAATTTCGATATAATTAAAAAAACTTCAAATTTATATATTATTAATTTTAATTTACTAATATAAAATTGATTTATAATATAATATAGAAAAATATATAAAAAATTATATTTTTTAATGTATTACAAAATTGAGAAATATTCATTTAATAAAAGGTAAAAAAGTTTGCATGCTTATTATCAATAAATATACAAAAGAACCCAAAGCAAAATCAAAATATATGTACATAATTTGTGTATACTTGTACATTTGTATGTAATTATTTGTTATATTCGCACTGTTAACTATATTGCCTCATACAGGCCATCTTTCTATCTTTTATTTTATGACTCTTAGATTCTTATCTTAATACTGAATTTACTCATTTAAGTTTTAAGATGGAAATATTTAAAAAACAATAAAATATGATTAAAACAGAACAAACTTAACCTTTGTTATCAGTTTTGCAATAATCATATAGCTGCTGGCAGCAAAATCAAGAATGGGACTTCTCAAGCCTTGAAGAAGAGTTGGTAATAGATAGTTTACTTCAACCTCAGTGATGGTTATTAGTTCAATCATTCCTAACACTGCCGTAGTGTAAAAGGAATACAAAGTGGTCAGACAAGATGCTTTGTCGGAATAAGTCTTCGTGGCAAATGTCACATGAGTACATAGCGTCTTCAGGATTCCTTTATCTGCGACCAAACGATTGACGAGAATTGCGGAAGATAGAGTTATACCGCGTTTTTGCATAGGTACTAACCAATGCCATTTATCGCTCTCATCTGACAGATCTATCAATTGCAGGGCTCTTAAAAAACAGAATAATAAATTTTTAATCAATTTCTTAAAGATATGTGTTAATGGAAATGTACATAAGAAAGTATTATAAATAAGTTAAAAGAATAATTATTTCATTTATAAATTTATTGTCCAGTGTAGCAATAAAAGAACAAACTATCTAATACATACCTAACAAATATACGAGTTTCATGGTACGGTAAGATCAGAAGAATAAATTGCTCTCTATTATAGTGATGAATGTGATATCTGAATACAAGCCACTCCAGAGCTTTGTGGCAGGCATTCAGTAAGAAATATGGAGTCGATAATAATAGAAATTTTGCAATCTCTGCATCCAGTTGCTTATTTAATGTAACATTCTGGACAGCTCTTTCAAAGTTTACAGAACTCTGTGCAAATAATGTACCTTGAAATTCATCAAATACTGATGAAAGTTTCTGTAATTCCTCCAAACCACTCTGGCCTAAGAACAGATAAGAAAGTATGATCAAAAATATAGTTTTTTTATAAATATATGCAGCCTTGACAAAAAATATTAAGATATTTTTTTTCATTGAATTAAAATTGTTTTACTCGCATTGTTATCTATTAGTTTTATTGGTATTATATGTATATAAATTTAAAAAGTTCTTAAAACAAAGCATAATTTACAGCTAATACCGTAAATCAATTTTTGCTTTAACACTTTAAATAATTAATAAAAAACCTAATAGGTTAAACTGTATACCTTTCTTACATTTAGAAACGCATTTCTCTTAAACTTAGTAAGAAAGTTATAAAGGCAATAGATAAATAGAGAAGAATAAGTTCTTACACACTGTTTCAACCAGCCTATTAAAAGAGATTCTTATGGTAAAAATACTTTCCATAATTTGATATATAATCCTATTTTTTTGACCAGGTTTGAATCTGGGCCTTTAGCAGAGAACAGACTCACATTTCTCTGCATCATGATCTTGATATTTGTTAAATCTTGAAATATGTTGAATATTTTTATTGAATTCTTAATATTTTTAATAAATTAATTTTGTTGAAAATTGACATTCGACATAACATTTTCCATTGCAAAAGTCTGAACATTGTCATAAATTTTCTCCAAAATTATCCAGTAAAAATATCTAAGTGTATAAAGATTTGTATACTAACACACTGCTCGTAGATGACATTATGTTTCGGATTTTAAGCAATTTTTAAAATTTATCATTTACTTTACAATATTGATTAAACTGATTCTTCTAGATGTAAAGATTTTGAAATAAATTGAAATTAAAGCACAAAGCTCATGTTCATTATAATACATAAATACATAATTGAAGTAACATAAAACGGAGCTATTAAAAAGATAGATGACTAAATAAAAATAAATACTATAAAATAAAATAATATAGTTACAAATTTTACTAGAATAATATATAAAATTTAATTTAGATACTTAATATTACTTAACATAAATATGACAGGAAGTTAACACAGATACAAAAGAAAGGAAAAAAACTAACCTATACTCAACACAGTGTCCCTATCCAAATTCGCAGCCTCCTTTGGGTCAAACAGCAAGCTAGGACGTTTTTTATCCTGTAGCAGTAAATTCGTCTGCGGAGTTCTTAATTTTTTAAGTTGTGCTGCTAACGACGTTGCCATTATTAATCTAAAAAAACAAGCCGCAAGTATAAACAATTTCTAACCTAACATCTAAAAGAATTGTTTTTAATATACGATTTCGTTAGAATTAGGAACTTACGAAGTTTATTTTCCTTCTGTCACAACAAAATTTACAAAAAATTAATATCAATTCAATGTACAAAATTTTAAAAATAAAGTTGATACAATTTTATAAGATATGTCGCATCCGTCCATAACCACGTGCTTCGTACTCTTCCTTGGTTGACCAACTCGAATCGAGTTACTCTGGCGGGAGTTGTGCTCCGGGCCAACCGGCAACATACGACTGTCCACAGGTCTGTTCGCATTGCATGAAATCCTCAAATATTTTTACGCTCAAAATGAGATAGCTATATGTTTGGCTTTGAAAAGAGAGAAAGCGAAGATGCCGAGTGCAAAAAAA